GAAGTGAATATAAGTTAACAATTTTTTTTTTCTTTCAGGTATCTAACAAAGTTGTTTCAAAATACAGCTTTCTGTATTTTGTGATAGCTATCTTTAGTGATAACTGAGGGCTGTGTACAAGGTTCACTTGTAAGGCAGCTCACACCTAATGTTCCAAGCCTTCACCATTGATTCCATAAGCAACCGAGTGCTGCCCTGTGCTAGGGATTGGAAGATGAACTTGGACTGGGTCCTGACATTGTCATTGTGTAGTGAAGGCGTGCGGTAGACTCATTATCTTCTTTCCATTCCCTGTAGGAGAACCCCTTCTGTCGGGTGACGCTTCTGTGGCTGCTTGCCACTGGTTTTCTCACATTTCTTTGAATATGTTCTTCATTTGAAATCAAATCTTTAAAAAGTTTTGTATTTATCACATTGCACTTCAGTACCTAGAAGTGTTTTACTGCTGAGTGTGCTTTGTATAGAGCTCCTTAAAGAAGAATCATCCATAGCCAGGTCAGGTGGCACATACCTGTGAATTTCTGGCACCAGGCAAGACTGCAAGTTTGTGGCCGCTTGGGCTATCAAGGAAGTTAAGGCCCTTCTAGGCAACTTACAGAGACTCTATCTCAAAACGTACAAAGAGCCAGGTGGTGGTGGTGCACACCTTTAATTCCAGCACCCAGAAAACTTCTACAATACAGTGTTAGCAGCTTTTATGAATACAATGTTATACTTGCTTGCTATGTTAAATGCTGTCCCTTATCCTAGATCAATGACTTACATTAAATGCTCAGAAATAAAATCACTCAGTACTTGGAAATGTACACAGTTATTATACATGCTCTATTACATTCACATCTAACATAGTAACTAAACTTTGTTTCTTTGCTTTTGTTTCTTATGAACCACATTGGTGCTCAAATCCTTCAGACTCATCTCTCTAACAGTTCAAAGTGGCAGTTTGTCTGGCTCCCCTTGAACCAGTGATAGACTGAGGTGTAGAATGATGGTGTGCCTATGTGTGGATATTTTTCACTCTCCCAGAATATCCCCACATGCTGGAGAGACAGGGAACCACAAGGTCAAATCTGTAGATTCACTTTGGGCAGATTTTTATAGCCTTTGTTCAAAGTTAGCTGAGATGAGTGCACCTGTGACTTCGTTACAACATATACCTAAGAATCTTGGAGTCTTTATGTTTGGATACATTTATCCAGAAAATTGATTAATTAACAGAAAGAAAACCCATCTTTTGAATTTGAATTGAGCATCTGGTAATTCAGTTTAAAGCCTTTCTTCAGTTAGCCTTACCTTTATCATATTTAGTAAACTTACATGCGTCCTTGCTTTCTTCTTTTAGTTTTTTGAGACAGTTTCTCTGTGATATAGCCCTGGCTGTCCTAGAACTGGCTCTGTAGACCAGGCTGGCCTCTAACTTGAGATCCAGCTGCCTCTGCTTCCCAAGTGCTGGGATTTAAGGTGTGCACCACCACACCCAGCTTCTGATGGCTGTTTTTAAGAGTATCCCAACAACAGTAACAAAAATCCGAACAAAAAGTGGGGTATTTCAACATCTTCTGTGCTTCCCCCACAGTCCCACTAGCACTGCAGTGCTAATGAAAAGGGTGTCACCCAGAATAAAGATTCTTAAGGACATGTCACACCAGTTGTGTCCACACCATTCTGTGAATTGACAGCATTGGTGTCTGTGTGTAACAGATGAGAGAATTTGAGAGAATTGTTAAGGTTGTCCTGGTTTGTAGAAAGGATTAAAATTAGCAGCATGCCGGGCAGTGGTGATACACGCCTTTAATCCCAGCACTTGTCTGTGAATTTGAGGCCAGCTTGGTCTGTAGAGTGAGTTCCAGGATTGGCTTCATAGCTACTGAAAAACCCTGGCTCGAAGACCCCCCCAAAAAAAAAAAGACCCAAAACAAGCAACACGTTTTCTTTCAAGATGGGGTCACAGTTAGAAATGCGTAATTTGGTGGCTGCAAACCCAGTAGAATGTGTTTACATGAGCCTAGATGACACAGGCTGCCTCAATCCTTACTGTATTACAGCCTTCCTGTTGTACGGAAAAGCCATTCTTGGCTGAAGTGTTACTTAGTTCATCTACTCCTTTTTATTCTGACTCCAAGCCAGTGGTTTTTTGTCACGTATCCTGTAGTCCCTCAAACTATAAACTGAAGCCCACTCCTCTTCTTTGTTCTGCTGGTGTGTGCGTGCGTGTATGCGTGTGTATGTATATAGTTTTGGCTGTTCTGGAACTCACTCTGTAGATCAGGCTCTCCTCAAACTCACAGAGCACCTGCCTCTGCTTCCCAAGTGCTGGGATTAAAAGGTACACACCACCACCATCTGGCATGTACTTTCTAGTGGCTACCTATGCAGACTTAGCCTTCGTTTTTGCTAAAGGTTGCATTGCACTTGGATGTTTCATTAATGAGTGTGGATAGAAGCAATATGAAAACAAATCTAGTCATATTTTCATGGTTTCATAAAATTTATATTTTTCTTTAAGTCTCAGAAGAAAAGTAGTTTATATAGAGGAAAAATATTGTTTGTCAATTAAGAGTGTTTAACACTAGTTGTAAGAGATAAAATACACATTTTCTGGTTCATTTGAATTTCAGCTAAATCACAAATATTTTTAAAAAGATAAGTTTGAGCTAGGCAGTGGTGGCACTCGCCTATATTCCTAACTCTCAGGAGGCAGAGGCAGGTAGATCTCTGTGAGCTCAAAGCTAGTCTGGTCTAGAGAACAAGTTCTAGGACAGGCTCCAAAACTACACAGAAACTGGGCTTGAAAAAAACAAAACAAAGCAAAAAAATGAGAAAAAAGAAAAAAAGTTAAATTTGCCTCCTAAAATTTTGAACAAACTTATTCTACTTACATTTTTCCCAAGAGTTTTTAATTATTGTGTTATTTTTAATTTTTAATTGTAAATTTTTAATTATATGTAAGTGTCTGGGGGTATGTGCACATGAGTGCATGTTACAACAGAAGTAGAGAAGAAGGTGTTAGATCCCTTGCAACTGGAGTTACTGGCAGCGGTGAATCATCCCACAAGTCTGGAAGGTAGAAACTGAACTCAGGTCTCTGAAAGAGCAATATGCAGTTTTAACTGCTGGGCTGTCTCTTCAGCTCCCCTCCCCCTTCTTATATTTTTAAAAAGGTTGTTTCATATTTATATGAAATTGGCACTAGATTTTATAGATGATGTGTAACACATTTATTGGCGGGAGGGGTGTGCATGTACAATGTGTGCAAGCTTATGTATGAAGGTTATTATATAACCTGTGGGAGTTGGTTCTCTCCATCAGGTTCTTCCTGGGGTTAAACTCAGTTGTCAGTATTGGTACTAAGCATCTTTACTCACTGAACAATTTTGCCAGTATAAAGAGTAGATCTTTTTAAGATAGTACTGCTAGATTTCTTTAATCCTGTCTAATAACTTTTGATCCAAGACTAGTTACTGAAAACTACTAGATCCCTAAGTAATTTGTTGGACTCTCTTCCCAAGGAGCTCGTGACATAGCAAAAACAGAGCTTGCTCCAAGAACATGCAAAGGACATTCATAGCTGTTATGTTACAGTTGGGTAGCACGGCCAGCTTGGAAATTATACCAAGATAAAAGACTGTGGAAAATTGATTAGCTCCAGAGGAACAGACAAGGTGTGTGGGGAAAATAGAGATTTAGGGTGCTATTTCACCCACATCCCTTGTGTGGTATTTTTCAGAAAAACTAGGGGAAAAAAAATCTCGAATAATGGGATATGAGCTTTGTTACAGCCTAGGTGAGCTATTGCACTGCCAGAGTTGTGTCGTAAACGTTCTAGCCAAGAGGTGGCCCACACCTTTAATCCCAGCACTCAGGAGGTAGGCGAATCTCTGTGAGTTCGAGGCCAGCCTGGTCTACAGAGTGAGTTCCAAAACAGCCAGGGCTACACAGAGAAACCCTGCCTCAAGAAAAAAAAAAATTCTAGCCAAGTTAAGAGCACTTGCTCCTCTTGCAAAGGACCCAGGTTCAGTTTCTAGGACCCACATGGTTGCTCACAACCACCTAGAACTCTAGTTCCAGGAAATGCGGTGCTCTTTTTTGACCTCCAAGGGCACTAGGTACACACTCATGGTGCACATACATACATGCAGGCAAAACACTTATAAAATAAATCTAAAGGGGATTGCTATTAAAGAAAAGAATTTCAAACAAAGTGTGGTGATGCATGCCTGTAATCACTGGCTCTTGGGAATTAGAAACAGGAGGATTTGGAATTTAAGAGGATTTTAGACTGAGCTGTATGAGAACTTTTTTGCGAAAACAAAAAAAAATAATTTTATCCACTTCATGGTGCTTTTTTGCTGGGGGGGAGAGTGGGAATGTGTGTATCTGATGTGTACAGGTACCCCTAGAGACCAGAAGAGGGTCTAGATCCTCTAGAACTAGAATTACAAGTTTTGTTTGTGAGCCACCTGATCTGAGTGCTGTGAACTAAACTTGGATTCTTTACAAGAGAAGAAAGTTGTTCTTAATAACTGAGACTTAATAACTGAGACATCTCGGCTGAGTGATGACGACACACGCCTTTAATCCCAGCACTTGAGAGGTAGAGGCAGGCAGATCTCTGTGAGTTAGAGGTCAGCCTGGTCTACATAGTGAGTTCCAGGACAGCTTGGACTGTTTCACTTAGAAGTCCTGTCTTGAAACCCCACAAAATAATAATAATGATAACAATTTAGTCATCTCTTCAGTCCCCTAACACCCTATTTAAAGACCACTCTGTGTGTGCACTTGTGTTGCTTTTCTGTTTCTGTTGGTAGACAACTAGTTTATTCCTCTAGCATGTTCTTGTGGTCCCTAAAGGAAACTTTTTGTAAGCTAGAAAAACCCACATTCATTTTATTAGATAGAAAAGTACCTATGTCTTCTGGCATCTGGTTGGCGGTGCTGCCTGCTCTGTGAGGTGTTAGTCACTGAGTAGTTCATATGACACTGCTGTTCTTCCTCTTCAGGTCATCACCAACCTAGTGAAAATGCTGAAGTCTAGAGACACAAGGAGAAATTTCTGTCCTCCAAACCACTGGCTGTCAGAACAAGAGGATATCAAAGCAGATAAAGTTAGTGAAAAACCTCCTTAATAGTTTTCATTAAAAATGGTTTCTCATTGTATTTCTGGGGAGAGTAAGTCTTTTAAAATTATTTAACTCTTCATTTAACTTCTGAGTAGGTATCAGTGTTGTCTGCAATGCTAACTCTTGGTCAGAGGGCAAGATAAGTAGCAACAGCCTTGGCCTAGACTGCGTCCTAATTATTTTTATCTGATTGGGTTTTTGTTTTGTTTTGTTTTGTTTTTTTGCCTCAGGTTAGACTGAAGCCCAGTATTTGTCTATTAGAATTGAAATTAATTTTACTTTTAGTTGTACTACCAATAAAAGTATTTTCATTAGTTAAAAAAGATGGGCTTTAGGCTATCTGAGGGGCCAACATAATAAAATATTGTGAAGATTTGAACCTAAAGCGGATTAAATCTTCTAGACCATCAGAACGAGAGTGTAGCGTCCACTTTGACCAGCAAAGAAAACATAACACCGGATTCTTCCCAAAGCAGTTTAATCAGGAACCTTGAATAATCTTCTGACCCCCGGGGAAAGCCAGCCCACAGCTAAAATAGCCTCTGGGTAGCCAACCCCAGCATACTATGTGGGAAATGCAGATAGGTCCAGAAACACAGAAGGAAGCCAGATCCTTAGCCTCAGCCATGTATGGAGTTATTTACAACCGAGAGCCCTTACCATTCGCAGGGAGGGGGGTGGAAGGCAGAAGCCAGCGCCATCTTAAAGGTGCGGCAGCTCACTACACGAGAGTTTATAACAGAGGGCCTCAGATGGTCCCAGAGAAATTCACCACTAATGCATTTTATAATCTTTGAGAGTAGGGCTGGAGAGATGGCTCAGAGGTTAAGAGCACTGACTGCTCTTCCAGAGGCCCTAAGTTCAATTCCCAGCAACCACATGGTGGCTCACAACCATCTATAATGAGATCTGGTGCCCTCTTCTGGCATTCAGGCAGACATGGAAAGAATGTTGTATACATAATAAATTAAATAAATAAATAAATCTTTAAAAAAAAGAATCTTTGAGAGTAGAGAGAAGGGGGGGTTAGAATAGGGATGCGGGTACAACAAGAAGCCAACACAGGAGTGTGGCAGGACAGTGGGGGTATGACTGGATCCTTGGGGAAAACCCATCTTCAAGTTGAGCCTGAGGCCTCCAGCCCTGCCCACTGGCAGAGTCTGCAAATGGGCAGATTTTGCAAAGTGACCAGCTCCAGGGCCCAGGTAGGTAACTCTAAGGAACTTTTCCTGCCAACACAAAAAGTCTTTAACACAGTGGTAGATTGAGGTGTGGTGGGTGACCTGTCACAGTAGAGGCTGCTGGAGTGTGAGGACAAGTAGGGATTCCTGAGAGCCTCTCTTCCCAGACATAGACACTGTCTTGGGAACTCTGAGCAACACTGAAAATAACCACATGGACTGGTCTGGTATAGTAACGCCACAAAATCACAGTAGCACTCAAGAGAAAAAGACCTTCATCCATCAATTTTATAGAATATAAAGGAACCATTTCATTATTTTGAAGACTTTTCTGAAAAGAAAAAAGTAGTAAACATTTGACCTGCCTCTCTAGGGCTATCTAGATAGCATTGATGCCTTCCTGCTATGTGTCTTCCAGATAATGGGTGTCTTATCTTGTGGGTTCTGGGAAAGGTGTAACCTGCCACATACATATTGGGCCTAGTGCTCTAAGCCTCTCTTAAGTAGTGAGTATGAAATTTGAACCTTCATTATAATAAAAAAAATTACAAAGACCAAAACTAAGGGATGAAAAAAAATTATAGATTAAAGCAAAACTTAAGAGAACTTTCTCTACTTATCTTACTTGAATACTAATTCATCCAAATTAATTGGGAAAAGAAAAATTTTAAAGGAAGTAAGTTTAATAGTTAGTTTTTTAAGTGATATGCTTTGTTTTGTAGTTATATCATTGTTAATTTACTCTGCCCAGACTGTCACCAATTCACTTTAAAGTATCTGAGGCTAGAATATGAGGACATGAAAGGCACCCTGCCCTGAACAGGGATAGACAGCCAGCTCCTTAAGGAATTGTAGGTTCCGATGCCATCAGATAGTACTAAGGCCGAAGAAAGTGCTGACAGCAATTGGTTCCCACAGGTCACCCAGCTCTATGTACCTGCATCTAGACATGTGTGGCGGTTCCGGAGGATGGGCAGGATTGGCCCACTGCAGTCCACCCTGGAGGGTAAGTTCTCCTCACCTGGAACTGCTTTTCACAAGGGCAAATACTCTGCAACATTCAGTCCTTTACTATTAGCTCTGTGATTTTTTTTTTCTGAACACCACACAGCACTTCATCTAATAACAATCAACTTGTGAATGAAAATGATTGTTACCTCAACTTTTCTGAAAGGTGGAACTGTAGGGCAAGCAGCATGAGACAGTAGGGTTCTGTGTATCGTAGCTGTTTCTTTTGATCACTCTGCACAATTTCATTGAGTAGTTAATGCCGTTTAAAACCTTTGATTTGATTATTTTGTCAGTCTTTGGTGGTTATGAATGTAGCTGCTATTATCAGTGTATAAGTGTTTGTATGAAGGTAAATACTGGAAGAATCTAAGTCACTGCAAACATGTGTTTAACTTTATAAAAGACTGCAGAACTGTGCTTTGAAGTAGCTATGGAACCTTGCATTCACCACAGATGTATGATTTATGCACTGCTACTTTGTATCCCAGCCAGTCCTTGGGATTGTCATATTTTGCTTTGGTTGGTTGATTTTTACTTCTTTGACAGAGTATGTAGCCTTACCTGGTGTAGCAATCTCCCAAATCCTGAGATTAAAGGTGTGCTCCACCATGTCTTCCTGGGATGTTATGGATGTAATATGGCCATTTCAATAATGAATAGTAGCTATGGTTGCGTGGCACTTCAACATACTGGTATTGAGGGAGGAACTCGTGGGCTTCACAACTTCTGAGGAGCTATTAGCACTTTATGTTTGTAAGGAAGTAGGAGTCATTTTCTTCCTTTTTCTTTTTTTTTTAAATATTTATTTATTTATTTAGTCTGCATGCCTGCACACACCAGGAGAGGGCACCAGATCTCATTATAGATGGTTATGAGCTACTATGTGGTTGCTGGGAACTGAACTCAGAACCTCTGGAAGAGCAGCCAGTGCTCTTAACCTCTGAGCCATCTCTCTAGCCCGGGAGTCATTTTCTTTAGTAATATAGCCCCATGTTCCAGTATTAACTCCCTTCCCATATTCTTTTTTCCTTTTCTTTCTGTTTTTTGGTTTTTCGAGACAGGGTTTCTCTGCGTAACAGTCCTGGCTGCCCTAGATCTTACTTTGTAGACCAGGCTGTCCTTGAACTCAATAAAATCCACCTGCCTCTGCCTCCAAGTGCTAGGATTAAAGGCATGTGTCACCACTGCCTAACTTCTGGGTTCTTATAAGCAGCTCTAGTTAAACTCAGTAGATCACAGAAAAGATGAGAGTTGGGAGATTAGTTGTGAGGAAAGTGGTCAGCAAGAATTGGAGGAGGATAAGAAGATCATGGGCTATGAATATGATCACCATAAATTTTGTGAAATTGTCAAAACCTTTGTTTGTTTTTCTTTTTTGAAACAGAGGGTTTTTTTAATAGCTTTGGGGCCTGTTCTGGAACTCACTCTTGTAGACCAGGCTGGCCTCAGACTCACAGAGATCCGCCTGCTTCTGCCTCCCGAATAGTAGGATTAAAAGGTGTGCACTCACTCCATGAGTGCTGGCTGTGTTCATAGAATGAACGGCTGAAGATGGTTGTCCACTCTGTGCTTGTCTCACTCACCTGGCTGAAATGACCTCAAAGATTTCAGATGGGACATGGAGGGTGTGTTTATGGATCTAGAAATAGATGGGATCACTGGGTTATTTTAGATTCTTAAAATGATCTTATAAATCCTGATTTAATAGCTGGCAGTGAATGGAATGGAAAATACAAATGGACTAATGAGTTTTAACAAATGTGTTATAGTGGGTCTGGAGTCCCCACCCTTGTCTGTGTCTGAGGAACGACAGCTTGCCATTCTGACAGAACTGCCTTTTGTGGTTCCATTTGAGGAGCGAGTGAAGGTATGCTATTCTGACCCTGTGATGGTAATATAATTAAAAAATACCTCAAGTAAAAGAAAAGCAAAATTCCAATTTCATACTTAAAATCTAACCAGCTACTTCTCTATATAAGCTGAAGACATCCTTTCCCTTATAGTTAGCTGATCTACATATTAGACTAGAGATTTCTGATAGTGAGGCCTATGGAAGGTTGTTTAAAGTGTATATGTTGTTACAAAAAATTTTTTTTGTAAAGTTTCTTTGTGTACCTTCATTAAAAAGTTACTATGACCATCACTGCCTTGAAAAATGGAAAAATACCTTTGCTCCTTTCCAGATGATTTTGACACATGTTTAAAAGATTACATGTATATTTCCCATTTAATTTGAACCTTTTTTTTCCCCTCCTGGTTTTTCGAGACAGAGTCTCTCTCTGTAAAAGCCCTAGCTGTCCTGGAACTAGCTCTTGTAGACCAGGCTGGCCTCTTAACTCACAGAGATTCGCCTGCCTCTGCCTCCCAAGTGCTGGGATTAAAGATGTGCACTACCTCCCAGCATGGACTTTTTTTATATTAGAAATTTTCTAGAAATTGCTAGGTCCTTCTCTCAGGTACTAGTCTTGATATTTTTAGGCCTCCGTTCTTTGTCTGGGGCAAACAAAAATGGACTGACCAACCTAGAGGCTCTGGGTCAGTGGTTCTCAGCCTTCTTACTACCGTGACCCTTTAATGCAGTTCCTTGGGTTGTGACCGCCAACCTTAAAATTATTTCATTGCTACTCATAACTGTAATAATTTGCTACTGTTATGAATCGTGATGTAAATATTTTTTTGAAGACAGGTTTCCCGAAGGGATCACTGCTCTAGGTGTTCATAAAAATGCTGGCATAGCATAGTACCAAACTCCTGAGCTCCCTCTACTGGTATTTCAGCATCATAGACATTTGAATTTTATTCTTGGAGAAAATATTCTAAGATTAGCTTACTGCTTTAAGAGCTTCATTTTCCTCTTAAAAAATATTTTAAGTGGTGTGTGTGTGTGTGTGTGTGTGTGTGTGTGTGTGCGTGCGTGCACATTCTATAGAGTTCATTCAGAGGCTGAAGACTAACTTTTAGGAGTCTGTTACCTCCTATTATTCAGGTCCCTGATCGAACTCTTGACAGAAAGTGCCTTACCCACTGGGTCATCTCAGTACCCCTACCTGCCTAAATTTTTAAGAAAGTACTTAATAAATGAACACATACTGTGACATGGATCTTTTAAAACACTGTAAATGCAGGGAAAACAGCTTTAGAAATACTTAAATACTCTTTTCTTCAAAAAATATTTGCTACCTTGTATAAAAAGCCTGATGTCAGAAGTTATAGAGATATAAAGTTAAAACATTTAACAGTTTTGTTTTTAGGTTGTTTATTCTTATAACAGCAAGTCTGTTGTTTCTAATAGCCTTAACAACTTTGCCTTTTGTTAGATCTTTCAAAGGTTGATTTATGCAGATAAGCAAGAAGTTCAAGGAGATGGTCCATTTCTGGATGGGATCAATGTCACAATAAGAAGAAATTATATTTATGAAGATGCTTATGACAAACTTTCTCCAGAAAATGGTATATATACATATAGTGCTCTGTGTGTGTCTGTATTTGTTAGAGGGAAATAGGGAGTTAGTGTAGAAAATAATAATTGTTGCTAGATATTTAATCCTAGTACCCGGGAGACACAGGAAGGTGAATCTCTCAAGAGTTTGAGGTCACTCTGGTCTGCACATTTTGTTCCAGGACAGTCAGGAGTATATAGTGAGATCTTTTCAGATAGATAGATAGATAGATAGATGGATAAATAAAGTAATCAATTCTGTTAAGCCTGATGCTAGGTATGATGATACATGAACTGTAACCCTAGTAATAGGGCCAGGGCTGCATAGGAATGGATATACACAAACACACACACAATTGTGAAACTGTATTAAATTTAAACTGATATTTTAATTAATATTAATTTATTAATTAAGTGTATTAAATTTAATTGATACAGTTTTTGTGTGGTTATTTAGGGAGTCAAGTTTGATTTATAGTTGATGTTAATAAATTGCATTAAAAAGATCAGTATGCTTTTAATTTTTTTTTTCCTCCTTAGACCAGAACTCTACATAGCCCTGGCTGTCCTAGAATTCACTATGTAGAGCAGACTGGCCTCCAAATCACTGAGATCCACCTGCCTCTGCCTCCTGAGTACTGGGATTAAAAGCATGTGCCACCACTTCCCGGCTTGTTGTTTAGACATTTTGATCTGGAGAAAGAGGGTTTCCTGAAACTTAACAAATAATTTTTGTTTTGTGATTTTTGAAACAAGGTCTCTTTATGTAGCCTTGGCTATCTTGAAATTTTATGTAGATCAGGCCGTCCTTCAACTCACTGAGATCATCTTACCTCCACCTCCTGGGTTCTTGAATTAAAGACATGTATCAGCATACCCAGCAACAGATATTTTTTAATTTTAAAAAAAAGCCTTTCAGCGCAGAAGCAGTGATATGAAATTTAGTGTTTTTGAAAAGAAAGGAAGTACTTGTCATCTCAGAGTATTAAATCCTATTGTATGACAGAAACATCCTTAGCAAAACTTACAGTTTTCTCTGTCGCAAGCCAGTTCACTCCTTAAACAATTTCTCAGGCCACTGTTGCCTCAAACTTGATTAAGTGCATGTTTCAGCTGTCAGAGTTGTAAGCACACTTGGGTTTCACAGAAGTGCTTGGTATATACTATGTCCTTGTGGTGACTGAGTCCCAGCAAGGTGGACAGTGAAAGGCTCAACTCAATTCTTAGACTGAAAGCATGGAGTAAAAGTGTCTTTATTTTTCACTCGCATGTCTAGGAGTCAGGATATTGGTATAAAAAATAAAAAGCTGTGTATATATTTCCACCACAGATTGATGAAACAATGTAGTTAGTACAAAAGATATCAGTAGTTTGCTTCCTTCTTCAGATGTTTTTCTAGCTCGCTGTGAGTCTTCATATATAGTAAATCTGTAACTCTAGAAAACTGATTTGGGCCGTTTCAGATGGAGAAGACAGTATCTTTAGCTTGTAGTCAGGCTTACCTTTGATTGGAATTACTTATGGATCATTTCAGTGACAACGTGTTAGGACTACTCACTATTGCCCATTACTCTTGTTGCCCTAATCCTCTCTCTTTATAAAAAGTCTTTTTCCCCTGCCCAGCCTAGTTCAATTGCCTAACTTCCATCTCCAGAGATGGTGGGTTGTTCTTACTTAGAATCTTTCTCCCACTGGTCTGTAACATGAGGGGCTGGCTTGTTGGGGTTTCTGTCCCACCTGGTACCCCACAGCCGGCAACTCCCAAGGAAAATCACACACAAGACTCCATAAGGTTATAAACTGATTGGCCTATTAGGTCAGGCTACTTATTAGCTCTTATAACTTATGTTACCCCATTATCCTTATCTACATTAGCCACATGGCTCCGTACCTTTCTCAGCTGGGCAAGTTACATGCTGCCTCTTCAGTGGTCTGCACAGGAATGGCAGAGGGAGCTTCTGCTTCTAGAATACTCCCAGTCTCTTTGCTCCACCCCTACTTCCTGTCTGGCTTTCCCGCCTATACTGCCTGCCTGACCAATCAGCGTTTTATTAAAATATGATTGACAGAATACAGACAATTCTCCCACACCACTGGTCCACTAGCCAGCCATCTCCTGTGTGATATATCCATGGAAAAAAGCTTTCCATGTAAGCCCTGGGAACGTTCCCATCATTTTGTTTGGATTTGGTTTGGGTTTTGGTTTTTCAAGACAGGGTTCCTCTGTAGCTTTGGAGCCTGTCTTGGAACTGGCTCTTATAGATTTTATTTTATTTTTTAAAGTTTGTTAATTTATTATGAATATAATGTTCTGCCTGCATGTTTCCTTGCAGGCCAGAAGAGGGTGCCAGATCTCATTATAGATGGTTGTGAGCTACCATGTAGATACTGGGAATAGAACTCAGGACCTCTGGAAGAGCATCCAGTGCTCTTAACCACTGAGCCATTTCTCCAGCCCCAAATTCCCATCAGTTTTATTGGCTGCTAATGTCTTTAATGGGACCTTCTACATAAAAATTGGTATTTCTAGGTTATATTTATTTTGTTTATTTGCATTTTAAGCAACTTTGATGTCACTGTCTCTTTAGTATTACTGCTTTATTTGAACCATAAGTGTTAAATATCCCTGATTGATAATCTCAATGCCTTTACATAATGCTTTCTGTAATACTGTTTATTTTATTGCCCCTTTTTTTTTTTTTTAACAGAACCGGATTTGAAAAAACGGATTCGTGTGCACTTGCTTAATGCCCATGGCCTGGATGAAGCTGGCATCGATGGTGGTGGTATTTTCAGAGAGTTTTTAAATGAACTACTGAAATCCGGATTTAACCCCAACCAGGGGTTCTTTAAAACTACTAATGAAGGGCTTCTATACCCCAACCCAGCTGCTCAGATGCTTGTGGGAGATTCTTTTGCAAGGCATTACTATTTCCTTGGCAGAATGCTTGGAAAGGTAATCTTTATATAAAAATAAGGCTCAAAACAAAAGATGTCTGTCATTCCACTGTTTTTGTTGTGGTCTAAATTTCATTGATTATTATTATTCAAAATTGTTAAAAGTCATTTTGGTGATCCCTACCTAATACTTATTTAAATAGCAACTACAGTTCATCATCATATATTGCATGGGCAGTAATTAGACTTAAAAAAGGTAGTATAGTACAAAACCATAAAGTACTATAAAACTCTGCACATAGAGGTTTTATAATAGCTACCTATATTTATTTTCATTTGATTTCTGTGTGTGTGCGTGGCCATAGTTTGACACTGGGTGTCTTTCTCAGTTGCTCCCTATCTTCCTTATTCTTTGAATTAGGGTCTCTCACTGAACCTAGTGCTAGTTGATTCACTTAACTGACCCATCAGGCCTCATCTTTCCCCATCTCCTCAGCACTGGAAATACAGATGCATGCTGACTATGGTTTTGTTTGGTTAGTGTGTGTGCTAGGAATGAAACTCCTCCTGTTTACAATGGCAAGCACTTTACCTATTTAGCCATCTCTCTAGCCCAAAAGGACCTATTTTAAGTTTGTTTAATGTGGTTTATACCTGTTAAATAAAAGGGGAGTATGGAACTGAATGCAAACTTAAAAGTTTAGTGGTGAGGTGTGCAGTGTCCCTTCTAATCTAAGTCAGACACAAGACAAGGGTACACTTGACACTGGGAGACCAGCGTTGTAATTACTCCCCGTAAGTAACCAACAAAATGTAGTTGTTATATTTACTGGTTACTGTTTTTAAATGTAGAACTCTTGCATACAAGCATATATTTCTAGAATATGTTTATTTTTTGCTTACTTGAATTTTAAGTAAGAATGTTGGTTACTGCTAATTATGGAAGAATGTGTCTAGCAGACTGTTCCAGTCAAATCAGGAGCTGAAATTCATACCTATTGTGTCCTAAATGAGTGTGTATTTGAGCTTTAATTTGATCCCAGGGGACATGCAGTTTTGGAGTGGAAAGCATAGCACATCTGAGATATGTCCAATAGCAAATATGTCTCTGCTAGCAGGCTCAATATCAAAATTTATTTTTATTTTTAATTATGTGGAGCTGTGTGAATATGTGTATGTGAGTGCAGGTGCCTTCAGAGGCCAGAGCATTGGATCTCTCTGAAGCTGGAGTTACAGGTGATTGAGAGCTGATTGACAGGGGGACTGAACTGAACTCAGGTCCTCTGGAAAACCGGCATGCTGCTCTTTATCACTGAGCTGTCTCTGCCTTCTGACTCTTAACTACCCAGTTCGTATTAGTATGGTATAGGGAAGATTTTATACCATCTCTGACTCAAACCCATTTTGAGTCCTTGTAGCTTGAGGACAAAAGATAGATACAAAGTTCCCAGCCAGTTGTAGCAGGGCAGCTGAGGACTCAACATAGCTGAGGAAGGAGGTGGTTCATCTGCCCTGTCTTCTGGCCCACTTTCAGTTTAAGTTATGCCCCCAGGTCTTTTCCCTTTTTTGGAGACAGGGTCTCATTACATAGCTCTAGTGTCCTGGAGCTCACTATGTAGACCAGACTTGGCTTCAAACTCAGAGAGATCCATCTGCTTCTGCCTCTTGGGTGCTGGGATTAAAGGCATTAACCACCACACCCAGCCTGAGTTAGGAGTTTTAAAATATAGAAGAAAGATGTAGCATATTTGGTAATATAAAGTAACATTGTAGTGTACACGCAACATACCTACTAATGACTCTTATCACCAAAACTGATGACCTGAGTTTGATCTCTGTATTCAACATGATAAAAGAAGAAAACCACCTTTCATATATACACTATTATGTGTGCCTCCTCCCTAAATAAGTAAGTGTAATAAAGGGTATGTGTGTAAAATTCCAGTATCTTTAGCTTTCAGACAAATTTAAAAAAAAAAATGAGATTCCATCTCTCCCCAGTTAGAATAACTACTATTAAAAGACATAGGCAGGCATGGTGGCTCGTGACTATAATCCCATTATTTGGAATGCAGGATAATTATTTTAAGTTCCAGTATATACTAGCCTGAGCTATGGGTAGGTGAAATGCTAATGAGAGGAGAAAAAGAATTTTGATCCATGGGGTGGTGGTGGTGCACGCCTTTAATTCCAGCACTCGAGCCAGAGACAGGCAGGTCTCTGTGAATTCGAGGCCAGCCTCATCTACAAGAGCTAGTTCCAGGACAGACACCAAAACCATACAGAGAAACCCTGTCTTGAAAGAAAAAGAGAAAAGGAAGAATTTGGTGCATAGTTAGTGAGGATGTATATATAGACTCTAGCATAGTTCCTCAAAGAACAAGTAGAGCCCTCAGATCTGGAAACTGAATCTTAAAAGGTCTGATGTATTTTCAGAGAAAATGAAGTCAGCATATAAAGTCCTTGTTGTTCCATATTCACTGTTACTGATCATAATAGCTAAGATGTGACATTTACTTAGGTGCTCAACAGTGGAAGATATAAAGAAATTATATATGTACATGATGGAATAATATTCAGTTGTAAAGAATGAAGCCTTAGTATTTGCAGCAAAATAAATAGAATGCTTTTAATCCCAATATTTGGGAGGCAGAGGCGCTTGGATATCTGTGAGTTATCTATAGAGCTAGTTCCAGGACAGCTAGGGCTACACAAAGAAACCCTGTCTCATGAAAAAAGAGGAGGGGGATTCAACGACATTGTATTAAGTGAAGTAGTTCAGACACAGAAAGACAAGTACCACGTGCACTCTGGTATGTGAAAGCTAAAATTGAACTGTCTTGAAAATAGAATGATGTTTTATAGAAGTTGGGGAGAAAAGGGGGTAGATAAGGTAGGCTGAATTTGAGGAGTGAGCACTGTGGACGTGTGTAGTTCAAATTCTAATTGGTCTTAATAATAAAAACCTGGAGTCAAATATTACGAAGTAAAAGCTGAAAGATCAGAGAAACAGAGTAGCCAGCCACTAGAGCTCTTATCTCTATGAAGTCTCCGGAGCAGAAAAAGACCAGACTCCTGTCTGTCTCTGTCTATCTATCTGTCTCTCCCTCCCTCATTCCCTCCCTTCATCCCCCCCCCTTCCCCATTCCATACCCCCATCCCTATCCCTGCTTTATATTCCTCTCTCAACCCAGCCATATCACTTCACCTCCCTAGTGCTGAATTAAAGGTGTGAGCCACCACTGCTCTAGTTCTCTCTTTAGACTGGATCAAACTCATGTAGCCCAGGGTGGGCTTAAACTCACATTGATCCATCTGCTTCTGCCTCCCAAGTGTTGGGATTAAAGGTATATGCTACCACTTCCTGACCTCTATGGCTAACTAGTAGCCACTAGCTCTGAACTCTGATCTTCAGGCAAGCTTTATTTGTTAGATCACAAACAAGATACCGCCACAGACTTGTGTACAAATGTTCACACTGAACCTCATTTATCTTAGTATAAATATTTATCAGAGTGTAATGGCACATGCTTTAACTTCAGTACCTAGGAGACTAAGGCAAGAAGATTGTGATTTCAGGGCCAACCTTAACAAGACCTTGTCTCAGAAAGCAAGGACTGGGCACATAACTCAGTGTTCGAGTATGTGTACACATTGTTTAAACCCTAAGACTGCAGAATAAAAATAGAAGTGAACTAATTAAATTATTTTGTTAAATTATTTTCTTGAGAATAGTGGTTGATTTAGTTCCACAGAGTTTTCTGCATAGGAATTCCTAAGGGGTTTCTAAAATACCTGTTTACCGTCTGATTGTAAGTGGTTAACTTTGCATCAGCATGTCTGCATCCAAATGAATACACCCATACAGCACTAATAGTGTGCACCTGAACATTAAATCTGCAAGAGAAGAAAACTAGCTATTGATTGATTATGGTATTTATTGGGTCATAATATATTTAAATTTTCTTAATGCATATGTTAGTGATTGTTTACTGTGATAAAGTGCACAAAGGTCTTCAGAGCAGCTTTGCACAGGAAGAATTACCTCCCGTCACTGGTCACTTCTCAGTTAAAAGTTCCATTAGCAGATGGTTCCTGCCTGGGCTGTGGGTCGCGGCTGCACTTTGTTGCCTGTAAATCAGGCTCTAGACAGGGATAAGTAAACAGCCTGCCTGGAATGTGGTCATGTCATGTTGGACTTTTTTACAGACAGAAGCACCTTAGTCCATTTAAGCCAATTAAGTTCAGAATATTTATTGGAACAAATCCTTCATCGTATTTGAATTCTATTTGAAATTTTCCCCTTGATTCAGAATATTGATTTAATTGGAACAGAATGCCTATAAATCAGATTATTTGGTAATACTATGGTCATATATTTGAAAATTTTAATTAATTGTATAACTTCAGTATGCTTTATAATTGTGTATTTCAGTAGAGTAAGTATACAGTTAATGTATCATAAAGTGTGATATTGACAGTTAGCAGTTGATATTGACCTTTCTGGAAGCTAAAAGAACTTATTCTTATATGTCATTAGTGTCCCTTTAGAAAATGTTCTCTGGGTTTCAAGGTTTAAATCTGTAAGGTTTGAGGTGAACATTAGGAGCCTTGCTTGCCTCATCCTTCACATGACACAGCTCCCCTCTTCTGCAACATCTTTGAGCCCTAAGCTTATTAGTACATGGTGTCCCCTGCCTCACCCATTGCCATCAGACCAAAGGCTCTTGTCTTCCTTAGACTTGTGATCTTAACAGTAGCACAGGCTTCCTAAAACTGAGACAGAGCCTTTTACACAAATACTCATTTAAATTTAGTGACCATACCAGATATGGTTGTACACACCTTAAACCCCAGAACTGAGGAGGCAGAGGCAGGAGGATCTCTGTGAGTTTAAGGCTAATCTGGTCTACATAAGTAAGTTCCAGAACAGCCAGGACTAAATAGTGAAAGAGACCCTGTCTGAAAAACAAAAACTTAGTAACCGTGACTAGATGCATGTGTGTTTTGTTCTTAAAGAAGATCATCTTAGAAAGGCAGTGATAAGTAGATGAGCCC